ACCACCAGCACCACCACCAGTACCTAGCACCAGCACCACCACCACCAGCACCACCACCAGCACCACCAGCACCACCACCAGCACCACCACCATCACCAGCACCACCACATCAACCACCACCAGCACACCAACAGCACCATCACCACCACCAGCACCACCCACCACCACCAGCACCACCAGCACCAACCACCACCACCAGCACCACCACCACCATCACACCACCACCACCACCAGCACCACCATCACCACCACACCACCACCACCACCAGCACCACCACCACCACGAGCACCACCACCAGCACCACCACCACCACCATCACCACCACCACCACCAGCACCACCATCACCACCACCACCACCAGCACCACCACCACCACCACCAGTACCAGCACCACCACCACCACCACCAGCACCACCATCACCACAGCACCACGACACCACCAGCACCACCACCACCACACCACCACCACACCACCAGCACCAGCACCACCACCACCATCACCACCCCAGCACCAGCACCACCACCACCAACACCAGCACCACCAGCACCACCACCACCACCCACCATCCCCACCACCACCACCACCCCAGCATCACCAGCCACCACCACCAGCACCACCCCACCACACCACCATCACCACCAGCACCCACCACCACCACACCAGCACCACCAACCATCACCACCACCAGCCACCACCACCACACCACCAGCACCACCACCACCAGCACCACCAGCACCACCACCATCATCACCCACCACCACCACCACCACACCACACCACACACCCACCAGCACCAGCACCACCACCACCAGCACCACCACCACCCCACCACACCCACCACCCCACCCACCACCACCATCCCCACACCAGCACACCACCACACCACCACCAGCCACAGCACCACCCACCATCACCACCACACGCCCCACCACCACCACACCACCATCACCAGCACCACCACCACCACCGCACCACCACCACCACCACCAGCATCACCAGCACCACCACCACCACCACACCACCATCACCACCACCACCACCAGCACCACCACCACCAGCACCCCACCACCATCACCCCCACATCACCACCACCACCACCACCAGCCACCACCACCACCACCAGCACCACCACCATCACCCCACCACCACCACACCCCACCACCACCACAGCACCACCATCACCACCAGCACCACCACCACCACCAGCACCACCACACCAGCACCACCACCACCACCAGCACCACCACCACCACCACCACCACCACACCACCCCCCTCGCTCCTCATCTCTCCCCTCGGGTCAGATAAGGCAGCAGGAATGTGGAACAGAGCCCACAAATCATGCGCACGCCTCGAACGCCTGCACCCACACACACCTACACACCTACATCACGTATACACACACACACACCGTGTACACACACACCGTGTACACACACACCGTGTACACACACACCGTGTACACACACACCGTGTACACACACACCGTGTACACACACACCGTGTACACACACACACCTACATCACGTGCACACACACACACTGTGTACACACACACCGTGTACACACACACACCTACATCACGTGCACACACCTACACCCCTCCATCACGTGCACACACACACAACCGTGTACACACACCGTGTATACACACACACACCGTGTACACCCACACACACCTCCATCACGTGCACACATACACCTCCATCACATGCACACACAACGTGTACACACACACACAACGTGTACACACACACACCGTGTACACACACACCGTGTACACACACACACCGTGTACACACACACACCTCCACAAAGTGTACACACACACCTGCACACCGTACACACACACACCTCCACGTGTACACACACACACCGTGTACACACACACACCTCCACAAAGTGTACACACACACCTGCACACCGTACACACACACACCTCCACGTGTACACACACACACCTCCATCACGTGCACACATACACCTCCATCACATGCACACACAACGTGTACACACACACACAACGTGTACACACATACACCGTGTACACACACACACCGTGTACACACACACACCGTGTACACACACACCTCCACAAAGTGTACACACACACCTGCACACCGTACACACACACACCTCCACGTGTACACACACACACCGTGTACACACACACACCTCCACAAAGTGTACACACACACCTGCACACCGTACACACACACACCTCCACGTGTACACACACACACCGTGTACAAACACACACACCTCCATCACACACACACACCTGCACACAGTGTACACACACACAGGTACATCCCCCATGAGTCATGGAGGTTGTTTGACCATACTTCACCACTCTGGTCAATAAAGATCCCCCGAATAGCCTTAACAGACTGTTGGGGCAAGTGCTGTTAGCGAGTAGCACCTATGAAGGCCGGCACTGTGGTACACGAGGGGGTGGGTGGCCAGCACCACGCCCGACCGCCTTTGTCTCCCCAGTGGCGATGTTTACACACCGCACCAGGTATTTATTTGAGGCTGAGTCGACCTAGGGGAGGCCCAGGACCGAACTCGGGTCGCCGGCTTCGTAGCGCAGCGCGCTAACTGCTACACTACCACAAACACACACACACCTGTGTACTGTACACACGCTTGTGTACTGTATACACACAGGTGTACTGTACACACACAGGTGTACTGTATATACAGGTGTACTGTACACACACAGGTGTACTGTATATACACAGGTGTACTGTATACACACAGGTGTACTGTATACACACACAGGTGTACTGTACCACACACCGGTGTGTACAGTACACACACAGGTGTACTGTACACACAGGTATACAAAAACGAAGAAACCCTCCTCCCACAGTGTAGCCTTCACAGACTGCTGGGGCAAGTGTGGTTAGCGAGCGCCTATTAAGGGGAGGGGGGGCACACTCCCCTCTCTCCCTGTACCCCCCCCCTCTCTCTACAACTCCATCCCCTTCACCCCCCCTCCATCACCCCCCCCCCTCTCTCTATGACTCCATCCCCTTCACCCCTCTCGCCCCCCTCCATCTCTCCTCGATCCAATGTCAACAAACTCCCCTCCACTCCACTCTCCATCCGCTTTGTCGACTCTTCTCACCCCCCCCCCCCTCTCTCTTTTCCTTTCCCTTCTCTCTCCATCCCCCCCCCCCCCACAACCCCCCCTCCACACGGCTCTCCCCACCCCCATCTCCCCACCCCCCCACGACTCCCCCCCCACGACTCTCTCCCCCCACCCCCCTCCCCCCCCATCTCCCCCCACCCCCTTATCCACCCCCCCACGACTCCCCCCCCCCCCAAGACTCCCCCCCCCCAAGACTCCCCCCCCCCAAGACTCTCCCCCACCCCCCTTCTCCCCCCCCCACGACTCCCCCCCCCCCACGACTCCCCCCCCCCACGACTCCCCCCCCACGACTCCCCCCCCCCACGACCCCCCCCCACGACTCTCTCCCCCCCACCCCCATCTCCCCCAACTCCCCCAACTCCCCCCCCCCCATCTCCCCCCCCCTCATCTCCCCCACGACTCCCCCCCCCACCCCCCTTCTCCCCCCCCACGACTCCCCCCCCCCCCCCCACGACTCTCCCCCCACCCCCCTTCTCCCCCCCCCCACGACTCCCCCCCCCCACGACTCTCCCCCCACCCCCCTTCTCCCCCCCCCCCCACGACTCCCCCCCCACAACTCTCCCCCCCCCCCCACCAATCTCATTGCCGCAGACTCCGCCGGAGTCAGGAAACAGAAACGAAAACGCCGAAGAGCCAGACAAAGACAAAGGTCCCCAGAACCAAGAAGATGAATCCCTGCAGTCACGAAAGCTTTAAATCGACACACACACATCAAGGAAATTGACCAAACATCCGAATGTAGCCCTCCCCCCCGACCTCTCACCCCGCCGTCTCCGCTGCCCACCCCCCACCCACCTCCACTAGAAACCATCCCTGGAGACGCGGTAGAGCTTCCATGGGTAAACAAAGGGCATTGTTTTCGCTCGAGACAATAACAGCAGCAGCGAGCGGTGGGTCAGCGGTTAGCGACGCACTCAGCCGTCAGTCGAATCACGGTCCATGGTGTCAAGAGTCGGTTTTTTAACAATCGGGTTTAATTGTCTTTTTATATTAAACCCGATCCTCTGAGATTGGGAGAAATCCGGTTTAATTGGTTCTAATTGCAGAACCGCACTTCGACAACTTCTCAACGATTTTATTTTATTTTTATTTTAGTTTTATTAATTTTAATTTTCTACCTACGTGACTTTACCGAAAAAAACCTAAGAATATGAATCCTTGCAGTCACGAAAGCTTCAAATCTAGAATTCTCAACGCTGGGCTTCATCCATTCCAAGCTCAGGAACTCACTGGCGGCGCCCACGATTGTGGAGGAGAAGCTCGTGTTCATCAAGACCAACCTGCCCGCCGCATTCTACGACTACCCCGTGCCCGACAGCCCCCCCGAGTACGATAGCAGCACCGACGAGGAAGCAGCCTAAGCCTTGGATCAGAGTTTCGTATTCATTAAACCAGGTTTTAACTCATACTCTTCGTTTTTTCGGTAAAGTCACGTAGGTAAAAAATGAAATTAAAATTAATTTTAAAAATCACGACGTTTCGGAGGCAACACAAGTCTCCGTCATCAGGTGGGACCGTCACAGCCAGATTTGCTGTATTGATACAGCATTGGACCAGATGACACCAAAAGGCGCCTTTTGGTGTCATCTGGTCCAACGCCAATGGAGACTAGGCTCTAAGGAAAGCTGTCTCGGGTGTGGACCAATCAACTTCAAGGACAGTGCATATTATTATCATTATCAGAGTTGTTTCTTTTTGTTTGCATTTTGACTACTTGTGTTGTGGTTATTGCAAACATGATGCCTTGTATAAAGGTGTCAGTTTTGTACCAGTTTAAAGGGTAAAAAGCTACTACTACATTTTGCCACCGTTAAAGGAGGTCTCATAGTGTAAATGCTTAACCGTTGGAATACCTTATGCCAGAAAAAGTGTGTTGACCAGTGTTATTAAATGCAGTGTAGAGGCCTCATCCAGCAGTAGAGAGGCCCTCATCCAGCAGCAGATTAACAAAAAGGGCTGTCCGTGTGGGGTTACTGAAATTTGCCGTTCAACATACACTGCGTCGTTTGTTGGGCGTACGCTCAGCCATCATGTTATAAAATATATTTATATTAGTATGGAATAATGTACACAAAGCTGCCTGTAACAGATACCGGCAGGCAGCATTTAGGGTTTAAAAATCCGCAGAAGTTCTCACGGACGGAGCCCTCCCTCCGCGTCGCAATTTGATAAAATGCCACCGCGGATTTCCACTAGCGGCTACGTTTTTACCAAAAAGAATCCAAATTCGGGATCCGTCTGACGCGCGAAAGGCGGCATGAGTTCGGGAAACCCCCGTCGGGCATGAGTTCGACTCCGGGACACGATCAACGTCCAGTGGCGACGGACACACAGGGGACGTCTCCGATTGCGAATGTTCCGACTTTGGAACTTTCGGAGAAACGAAACAAACCCGTCCCGTATGGTCCAGTCGCCTGTTCGAACCGCGAGTTGTGAGTTCAACCGCCGCGCAATAGATGGCGGTGGTGGCATCTACATCTGCAGAACGTGAAGAACCAGTGGCATCTACATCTAGAGAATGTGAAGAACCAGTGGCATCTACATCTGCAGAACGTGAGGAACCAGTGGCATCTACATCTAGAGAATGTGAAGAACCAGTGGCATCTACATCTACAGAACATGAAGAACCAGTGGCATCTACATCTGCATCTACATTTGCAGAACGTGAACATCCAGTGGCATCTACTTCTACAGGACACGAAGAACCAGTGGCATCTACATCTGTAGAACATAAAGAACCAGTGGCATCTACATCTACAGAATGTGAAGAACCAGTGGCATCTACATCTGTAGAACATGAAGAACCAGTGGCATCTACATCTACAGGACATGAATAACCAGTGGCATCTACATCTGTAGAACGTGAAGAACCAGTGGCATCTACATCTGCAGAACGTGAAGAACCAGTGGCATCTACATCTGCAGAACATAAAGAACCAGTGGCATCTACATCTGTAGAACGTGAAGAACCAGTGGCATCTACATCTGTAGAACGTGAAGAACCAGTGGCATCTACATCTGCAGAACATGAAAAACCAGTGGCATCTACATCTGCATCTACATCTGCAGAACGTGAAGAACCAGTGGCATCTACATCTGCAGAACGTGAAGAACCAGTGGCATCTACATATGTAGAACGTGAAGAACCAGTGGCATCTACATCTGCAGAACATGAAAAACCAGTGGCATCTACATCTGCATCTACATCTGCAGAACGTGAAGAACCAGTGGCATCTACGTCTGCAGAACGTGAAGAACCAGTGGCATCTACATCTGCAGAACGTGAAGAACCAGTGGCATCTACATCTGCAGAACGTGAAGAACCAGTGGCATCTACATCTGCAGAACATGAATAACCAGTGGCATCTACATCTACAGGACATGAAGAACCAGTGGCATCTACATCTACAGAACGTGAAGATCCAGTGGCATCTACATCTGTAGAACGTGAAGAACCAGTGGCGTCTACAGAACGTGAAGAACCAGTGGCATCTCCATCTGCAGAACGTGAAGAACCAGTGGCGTCTACATCTACAGAACATGTTGTTGTGTGTTGTTGTTGTGTATTGTTGTTGTGTATTGTTGTTGTGTATTGTGTTGTTGTTGTGTGTTGTTGTTGTGTATTGTTGTTGTGTGTTGTGTTGTTGTGTGTTGTTGTGTATTGTTGTTGTTGTTGTGTATTGTTGTTGTGTATTGTTGTTGTTGTTGTGTATTGTTGTTGTCACGTTCTGACCCCGTGTCCCGACTTGACGTCTGTGAGCAAAAAGAGCTTCACAGCTCATCGGATTCCTCCAGTCTCAAAATAAATATATTTTTTAATTCTCTATTATGTGTTCTAAGTGCTGCTGACTGAGCGTGCTAGCCGTGTGTGTGGTGTTAAAGCGTGATGTGAGTTGTGTGTTGGTGTGCTTAATGGTGGTGAATGTGTCAGTGATGTTTATACCGAGTGCGTGAGTTAGTGTGTGTTTGTGTGTCGGCTGGCGAGCGGTGGTGCAACGGTTAGCGCCACGCTGCGCTACGAACCCGGTGAGTTCGAGTTCCATCCCCGCTCACGGCCAACACCGGTGACGATTATCTGCACCGGTCCTGGAGCCTCACCTAGGTCGACTCAGCCTCAAATGAGTACCTGGTGCGGTGTGTGTAAATATCGCCCTCCAAAAATAAAACATGCTTCAAATCGCTTTAAACTATTGTCATTGTAGTGCGTATTTAATGTGGCGCTGCACTCTGATGTTGTAGGAGAAAACATTTATTAAGAAGTCTATTTAATTAAGTAGAACGTGTTGTCTATATTTATTTAAAGTTGCGCATTTTGATGTGACGTCACATTTCTCACCCCCCCCCTCTCCCCAGGTGCGTGACGTCATTTATGGACGGCCCCTAACCTACAACGTCTGCGATTTGTAAATGTAGTTAGTGGGTTTACTCCGGTGTGCTGTACTAGTAACGAATTCATCTTCTTGGTTCTTTCGGTAAAGTCACGTAGAATGGAAATAATAAAATAATAAAACATAATAAAATAATTCTCACGACGTTTCGGCCACAACGCAAGTCTGTCGAGAAGAAGAGAATTATTTTATTATGTTTTATTTTTATTGTTTTATTACTTCCCTTCTACGTGACTTTACCGAAAGAACCAAGAAGATGGATCCCTGCAGTCACGAAAGCTTTAAATCGAAATTTAGTAACGAATTCTCAAGTTTTTCTTGACGTGACAAACCTTACTGGACGCCTGTGAAAAAGATCTTCAGAAGTCATCGGATTCCTCTTCTCGTGGAAGTCAAAGTTCTGATGATTCTGGCTGCCCGCTCCACTGCTAGCCTACCCCCGTCCAGCCGTCACCCCCCCTCTCCCCCCCCCCCCCCACGTCTCCTCGCCTGCCCAAGCCCCCACCCCCTCAACTCGCCCTAACGCCATCCTCAAAATCACCACCAAAAACAACACAACAACAACACAACAACAATCGCCGTTCATCACGAATTGGTGGTGGCAGAGGTCGAAAACGGGTTTTGATTCCTTGCCCGTACCCGGCCGCACCAGGGTCAAAAACGGTTACCCGTACCCTACCCGTACCCGGCCGGGTACGGGTAGGGTACGGGTATCGGGTACCCGATTGCGACCTCTGGGATGAAGCCATGTTGCAGGCGCGGGTGGGTTGATTCTAGGAACTTGAATTGTGAGAAGAGACAAGACGTTGGGAAATGAGTGACAAACGGTGACTCACCAGTGACTCACGGCCTACCCGTACCCGTACCCGGCCGCACCAGGGTCGCAAACGGGTACCCGTACCCGGCCGGGTACGGGTAGCCGGGTATCGGGTAGGGTACGGGTATCGGGTGCCCGGTTGCGACCTCTGGGTGGTGGTGGTGACGTCACCACGCGGGGCTTTGTGCCAGGCTGGGTACACATCGAGGGCCACGTGAAGTGTCTCCGCTGTTGGCTGGAGGTCACGGGACTGACCCAGCAGACCGACGTAGGGTTGACGGACTGAGACGCGACCGGCGGATGTCACCGACTTTTTTTTTTATCTCCCCCTACTGTGTCGATTTGCTGTGTTTTATCCGCCCGGCGGCTCTGCTCGTTGTTGTGAGCGTCGCTTTTCTGCACTCCACCACGAACTATACCATCACCACCACTGCATATCAGCAACAACAAAAACAACTTGAACCGAAGCCCATCGTTAAATCATCATCGTCAAGTCCAATCCATCATTGTCATCATCATTATCATGAGTCTGTCACCAATCAACAATCTCACAATATCGTGATCATGAATCATTGTCAGGCTATAGGATCCAGATCCACCCCAACCACCACCACCACAGCCACCGTCACTGAATCAACATTCACTCACAACTAGACCACCCATTGCATTTGCCTTTTGACACCTTCCCGTCTCTTTCACCTGAACACACACACAGACAACACGTGTACACACACACACACACCACGTGTACACACACACACCACGTGACCACACACACTACGTACACACACACACACCACGTGTACACACACACACACCACGTATACACACATACACAGACAACACGTGTACACACACACCACGTGTACACACACACACACCCCAAGTGTCCAACACACATCACACACATCACACACCCCAAGTGTCCAACACACACACATCGCTGACACATAAACTACCATTACACACCAACACACAACACACTTGCACAATACCTACAACACTCAACACACAACCATTGGATACACACGCAACACAAACACACACAAATAGACAAACACACACACATCGCGAGCAATGCGGAGGTCCGAATCCCCCCGTGTCTCCCCCCCCCCCCCCGTGTCTCCCCCTCCTTCCCGTGTCCCCCCCCCCCCCCCGTGTCTCCCAGTGTCTTCCCTCCCCCCCACCGTCTCCCCCCTCCCCCCGTGTCTCCCCCCTCCTCCCCGTGTCCCCCCCCCCCCCCCGTGTCTCCCCCCCCTCCCGTGTCCCCCCCCCGTGTCTCCCCGTGTCTCCCTCCCCGTGTCTCCCCGTGTCTCCCTCTCCTCCCCGTGTCTCCCCCCCCTCCCGTGTCTCCCTCCCCGTGTCTCCCCGTGCCCCCCCCCCGTGTCTCCCCGTGTCTCCCTCCCCGTGTCTCCCCGTGTCTCCCTCTCCTCCCCGTGTCTCCCCCCTCCCCCGTGTCTCCCTCCTCCCCGTGTCTCCCCGTGTCTCCCCTCTCCTCCCCGTGTCTCCCCCTCCTCCCCGTGTCTCCCTCTCCTCCCCGTGTCTCCCCCCACCCCCGTGTCTCCCTCCTCCCCGTGTCTCCCCGTGTCTCCCCTCTCCTCCCCGTGTCTCCCCCTCCTCCCCGTGTCTCCCTCTCCTCCCCGTGTCTCCCCCCACCCCCGTGTCTCCCTCCCCCCCGTGTCTCCCCGTGTCTCCCTCTCCTCCCCGTGTCTCCCCCTCCTCCCCGTGTCTCCCTCTCCTCCCCGTGTCTCCCCGTGTCTCCCTCTCCTCCCCGTGTCTCCCCGTGTCTCCCTCCCCCCCCGTGTCTCCCCGTGTCTCCCTCTCCTCCCCGTGTCTCCCCGTGTCTCCGCCTTACCGGTCCAGCAGAGTCTAAATCGCTTGCTGCAGTTCAGTCTTTAGGGAGACTGCCCCAGACCCCGTCTCCTCCTCCTCGCGTCTCTCTCGCCGTGTCTCCGCTGTGTCTCCGCGTGTCTCTCGCGGTGTCTCCGCGTGTCTCTCGCGGTGTCTCCGCTGTGTCTCTCTCGGTGTCTCCGCCTTCGTGTCTCCGCTGTCTCCGCTGTGTCTCCGCTGTCTCTCCGCGTGTCTCTCGCGGTGTCTCCGCTGTCTCCGCTGTGTCTCCGCTGTCTCCGCTGTGTCTCTCGCGGTGTCTCCGCTGTCTCCGCTGTCTCGCGGTGTCTCCGCTGTGTTTCCGCTGTGTCTCTCGCGGTGTCTCCGCTGTTTCCGCTGTGTCTCCGCGTGTCTCCGCTGTCTCCCCGCTGTCTCGCGGTGTCTCCGCTGTGTCTCTCTCGGTGTCTCCGCCTTCGTGTCTCTCCGCTGCTTTGTCCGCGTTGTCTGCCGATGTCTCCGTGTCTCCCTCCGCCGTATCGCGTGCGCCTGCTGCGTCTCTGTTGTCTGTGTCTCAGACGAAGACTCTGCGTGTGTCTGTGTGCTTGTGTGTGTGTGCGTGTGTGTGTGTGTGCTTGTGTGTGTGTGTCTGTCCCCCCGCCTGTCTCTGCGTGTCTCCGCCTTGTGTCTCCGAGTCGAATTACGTCTCTGCGTGCGCGTGTGTCTGTGTGACTCCGTCTATGTGAGTCTGTGTGTGACTCTGTGTGAGTCTGTGTGTGACTCTGTGTAAGTCTGTGTGACTCCTCCGCCTGTGTGAGTCTGTGTGTTTCCGTCTGTGTGAGTCTGTGTGTCTCAGTCTGTGTGTCTCCCCCTGTGTGTGAGTCTGTGTTTCCGTCTGTGTGAGTCTGTGTGTCTCCGTCTGTGTGAGTCTGTGTGTGAGTCTGTGTGAGTCTGTGTGTGAGTCTGTGTGACTCCTCCGCTTGTGTGTGAGTCTGTGTGACTTACTCTGTGTGTGTGTGTCTCTGTGTGTCTCCGCCTGTCCGTGTGTCTGTCTCTAGACCGTCTCCGTGTGTCTCTCTCTGTCTGTCTCTGTCTGTCTCCGTGTCTCCGTGTGTCTGTCCCCCCGTGCTCACCACCACCACCGTCACCACGACCCCCAGGGTGTCTCTGTCTGGCGCGGTGCTCGACCCGCTCGCTCTGTGGGTGGAGCGAGGAAGAGGCGGCCTGGAGCGAGGGGGTGGTGGAGTTGGGAGAAGTGGGGGGGGGGTGTTGGGTGTGTCACGGGGTGACACGTGTGTGTGTGAGTACACGTGTGTGTGTGTGTGCGCACGTGTGTGTGCGTGTGTGTGTGTGAGTACACGTGTGTGTGTGCACGTGTGTGTGTGTACGTGTGTACACGTGTGTGTGTGTGTACACGTGTGTGTACACGTGTGTCTGTACGTGTGTGTGTACACGTGTGTGTGCACGTGTGTACACGCGTGTATGTACACGCGTGTGTGTGTACACGCGTGTGTGTACACGTGTGTGTGTACACGTGTGTGTGTACGTGTGTACACGTGTGTGTGTGTGTACACGTGTGTAGACACACACACAGGGTAGCGTCGCGGTTAGCGCTACGCTGCGCTACGAACCCGGCGACCCGAGTTCGATTCCCGCTCACGGCCAACACCCAGTGACGATACTTATCTGAGCCCGGTCCTGGGCCTCCCCTAGGTAGACTTAGCCTCAAATGAGTACCTGGTGCGGTGTATAAATATCGCCACTGGGGAGACAAAGGCGGTCGGGCGTGGTGCTAGCCACCCACCCCCCTCGTGTACCGTGCCCGCCTTAATATATGCTCGCTAACAGCACTTGCCCCAGCAGTCTGTCAAGGCTATACGGGGGATCTTTATAGTTGTATGTGTAGGACGCGATTTGATCAACATTGACCAGCGTGGTGAGGTATGGTCAAACAATCCCAATGACTCACAGTGCTGTTTGAAATATATAAATAAATAGGCAAGGTTTCATGCAATTGCCCTTATTAAGAGCACCTATTCCTATAATGCATTAACATAACACTGAATAAACACGACATCAGAATGGAACACATGGCAGTGGTGATATTTCCACTTGTTTGATCACGATAATCGTAAAACGTCCTCGCCTTTGAACGCAGGAGGTCGTGGGTTCGATCCCGACGCCTGCTGCTGTATATTTGGAGTTTGCGTGTCTCTCTCATCATCGTCATCACGGTGGCTAGGAGATGTTAACTACCTCGCCTGGTGTACAGGAGGTCGTGGGTTCGATCCCGACCCTGACGATTCCTGCTGTATATTTGGAGTTTGCGTGTCTCTCTCTCTCATCATCATCACGGTGGCTTGGAGATGTTAACTACCTCGCTAGGTGAGCAGGAGGTCGTGGGTCCGATCCCAACCCTGACGATTCCTGCTGTATATTTGTAGTTTGCGTGTCTCTCTCTCTCTCCCCGTGGTCGCGTGGATTCCCCATTTTAGAATCACCATCACCACGCGTTTCGAGTATTTTGCTGCTGCTATAAATGTCTCGCGTGACGATGACGAGTATTTGTGGTGGGCTGGTCGCTTCTGAAATAAAGATGAGCTACATAGCTCAGTGGACCTTACCTGGTCAAAATAAAAATACAATTTCATAGTTGAATAGACACATAGACTCACACAGAGACTCACACAGAGACCCATAGACTCACACAGAGACACATAGACTCACACATAGACTCACACAGAGACCCATAGACTCACACAGAGACACATAGACTCACACATAGACTCACACAGAGACCCATAGACTCACACAGAGACACATAGACTCACACATAGACTCACACAGAGACACATAGACTCACACAGAGACTCACACAAAGACCCATAGACTCACACAGAGACACTCACAGAGACACATAGACTCACACAAAGACCCATAGACTCACACAGAGACACTCACAGAGACACATAGACTCACAAAGAGACTCACACAGAGACTCATAGACTACAAAAATTGCATTTTACCCTTCCAAGTCTCGCCGAGTCTGAGGACGCCCTGTCAGGAGGTTGCTGCCACACTGGGAGGTTTGGCCCGAGTCCAGTCAATGAACTTCTCACGTGTGGAATTTGGAAACGTTGGAGACCCCCCCCCACACCCCCCCACACCCCCCACACCCCCCACACCCCCCACACCCCCCCACACCCCCCCACACCCCCCCCACACCCCCCCCACACCCCCCCCACACCCCCCCACACCCCGCCCCCCCCCCCCACACCCCCCCCCCCCCCCCACAGTGGGAAGGGGACTCACTCCCAGAGTTCCCGTGCGGGGATCTTGTCGAGAGGTCTCCACGTGTCATTGTGCGAGAGGGAGGGGAGGAGCGGTGGCGCAGTGGTTAGAGCGCCGCGCATCGGCTTCCCAGGAAACGACAATGTCACCAATCCTGCACGTGACCGGCGTGGTGAAGTATGGTCAAACTCGCCTAGCCCCATTAGCGACACCACGTGGTGTGTCTGATGGTGGTGATCATGGTGAACCCTCACATCTTCTTGGTTCTTTCGGTAAAGTCATCACGTAGAAGGGAAGTAATGAAATCATAATAATCATTCAGACGCTGTCGCCTCGACAGACCTGGTTTTCACCTGAGGACGGCTGCTTGCGTTGTAGCCGAAACGTCGTGAGAATTGTATTTTATTATGTTTAATTTTTACTATTTTATTATTTCCCTTCTACGTGACTTTACCGAAAGAACCAAGAAGATGAATCCCTGCAGTCACGAAAGCTTTAAATCGAAAGAGAATTATTTTATTATGTTTTATTTTTTTATTATTTCCCTTCTACGTGATTATTTAATGTTTTATTTTTATTATTTTATTATTTCCCTTCAACGTGACTTTACCGAAAGAACCAAGAAGATGAATCCCTGCAGTCACGAAAGCTTCAAATCGAAAGACCCCTAACATCGTCACGGTGTCTGCGGTGTGCGTTGCGAAGTGAATCAGCGCTACGCTGCGCTACGAAACCCGGCGACCCGAGTTCGATTCCCTCTCACGGCCAGGATTATCTGAGCCGGTTCCTGGGCCTCCCCTAGGTCGACTCAGCCTCAAATGAGTACCATGTGCGGTGCGTAAAAGAAAAAAAAACATCGCCACGAGGGAGACAAAGGCGGTCGGGCGTGGTGCTGGCCACCCACCCCCTCGTGTGCTGTGCCGTGCCTTAACATGTGCTCGCTAACAGCACTTGCCCCAACAGTCTGTTAAGGCTATACGGGCGATATTTGTCTTTGTGCGTGTATATAGAGGTGTGTGTATGTAGATGTGTGTGTGTAGAGGTGTGTGTGTGTATGCAGAGGTGTGTGTGTGTGTAAAGGTGTGTATGTGTGTGTATGTAGATGTGTGTGTAGAGGTGTGTGTGTATGTAGAGGTGTGTGTATGTAGAGATGTGTGTGTGTGTAAAGGTGTGTATGTAGATGTGTGTGTATGTAGATGTGTGTGTGTGTAGATGTGTGTGTGTGTAGATGTGTGTGTGTATGTAGATGTGTGTGTGTGTGTAGATGTGTGTGTATGTAGATGTGTGTGTAAAGGTGTGTATGTAGATGTGTGTGTATGTAGATGTGTGTATGTAGATGTGTGTGTAAAGGTGTGTATGTAGATGTGTGTGTATGTAGATGTGTGTTTATGTAGATGTGTGTGTATGTAGATGTGTGTGTGTAGATGTGTGTGTGTAGATGTGTGTATCTAGAGGTGTGTGTATATAGATGTGTGTGTGTGTAGAGGTGTTTGTAGAGGTGTGTGTGTAGATGTGTGTGTATGTAGATGTGTGTGTAGAGGTGTGTGTGTGTATGCAGAGGTGTGTGTGTGTGTGTAAAGGTGTGTATGTAGATGTGTGTGTATGTAGATGTGTGTGTGTGTAGATGTGTGTGTGTAGATGTGTGTGTGTAGATGTGTGTGTATGTAGAGGTGTGTGTGTGTAGATGTGTGTGTGTGTAAAGGTGTGTATGTAGATGTGTATGTATGTAGATGTGTGTGTATGTAGAGGTGTGTGTGTGTATGTAGAGGTGGGTATAGACTGGGGAGGGGGGAGGGGAATTGACCGAGCCACTCCGGAAACCAGCTCGGAAAAAAAGAGTTCAGTCTGCCGCATTCATCAGGCTGCCAACCAGCCGCCGTGACTCACACACAGAACTCTTCACAGCTACACACTTGTGCACAGTGATGATGGTGGTGATGGTGACAGCTGTGATGGTGCCACAGTGTGCGTGATGTGCATGGTGATGGTGGTGATGGTGATGGTGCCACAGTGTGTGTGATGTGCATGGTGATGGTGGTGATGGTGATGGTGCCATAGTGTGTGTGATGTGCATGGTGGTGGTGATGGTGGTGGTGCCATAGTGTGTGTGATGTGCATGGTGATGGTGGTGATGGTGCCACAGTGTGTGATGTGCATGGTGATGGTGGTGATGGTGATGTTACCATAGTGTGTGTGATGTGCATGGTGATGGTGGTGATGGTGATGGTGCCATAGTGTGTGTAATGTGCATGGTGATGGTGGTGATGGTGATGGTAACAGCTGTCTGTGATGTGCATGGTGATGGTGGTGATGTTACCATAGTGTGTGTGATGTGCATGGTGATGGTGGTGATGGTGATGGTGCCATAGTGTGTGTGATGTGCTTGGTGATGGTGATGATGGTGATGGTACCACAGTGTGTGTGATGTGCATGGTGATGGTGGTGATGGTGATGGTACCATAGTGTGTGTGATGTGCATGGTGATGGTGGTGATGGTGCCACAGTGTGTGTGATGTGCTTGGTGATGGTGATGATGGTGATGGTACCACAGTGTGTGTGATGTGCATGGTGATGGTGGTGATGGTGCCACAGTGTGTGTGATGTGCGTGGTGATGGTGGTGATGGTACCATAGTGTGTGTGATGTGTGTGGTGATGGTGGTGATGGTACCACAGTGTGTGTGATGTGCGTGGTGATGGTGGTGATGGTGGTGATGGTGCCATAGTGTGTGTGATGTGCATGGTGATGGTGGTGATGGTGGTGATGGTACCACAGTGTGTGTGATGTGCATGGTGATGGTGGTGATGGTGCCATAGTGTGTGTGATGTGCATGGTGATGGTGGTGATGGTAACAGCAGTGATGGTACCATAGTGTGTGTGATGTGCATGGTGATGGTGGTGATGGTG